TTAGACTATAGCTCACATGGAGCTTGCTCTTATAATGATTGGAGGACTGGCAGTATTGAAATCAATGTAAAAGCGTTATTGGTTTACCAGATTTCTCTCGTGCTATGAGTCAATGTGTGGATTCGGGAACCACGGTTATCAAAATTCCTCACTTCATACCAATTTTAACCCACCTCGCCCCTCATGGCAAATATGCTTCCCAATATATCCAGTCGCTAAGGGGTGAATATTGGGGTCACATAGGAAGTCGAGACCTTTATATAGAGAATCTCAGTAACTCAACTAGTAGGTGGTTCAGTGTAGGAGGTCAAAGCCCTGCTACGAATATTCAAATTAGGTGAACCGCAAATTTCCTGGCAGTGCTTTGATTCAGAAGTTATAGAATGAGAGATTGCGGCGAACCAAAGATGTATACTATTGGGCAAAACGCCATGGCGAAGGTTCAGCTTCAAAAATTGCAACCAGCCTCATTGGTGGTTCTTTGCTGACCTGGTTCATACAACTAGCAAAAGCATTGAACTGACTGGTGGAAAAAATATCTGCAGGTCAAAGGCTTTCATGCACCTACTTGATTAGGGTTTAGGGTTGGGTCCAATTGATCTAATTTGTTTGCTTGCCAGAGCGAGTAGTAATCCCAAAGCAAACAGGGACAAGTAATTTTGGGGAATTCCCAGAATCTCATTTTCATGTGGGCTAGATTAGAGCGTCAAAGCCTTAACCATATTCATGCAGTTAAGACATTAGTGGAACCAGTTTCCATAGTGAGACCAAGGTCATGAAGAATTCGTCTACCTTAGCATTACAATTGGGTGTGATCATAGACTATTGGGTGCAGGTCTTAATCTAATTGATCAAACGGAGGGGTTCGGTTGCCAGAAGTCTCAGTTGTATCAACCTGGTTGAACTGATTACTCAGATAACTGCAGCTTTTAGGCTGATTGAAATCAAAAGCCTTCCATGGCACTTAGGGTTATATTGGTGTTATATTGGGGTTATATAGGGATTATAGGGTTATATTGGTGTTATATTGGGACAGTATACCTGGGCACAAAGCATAAAGTATTTGTTGGAGTCTCGAATTTGAGATGAGATGAGCGAGTACGTACCTGTAAGAAAGCCCGGTCTTCCACCACAGACTATGTCCTTGAGGGGTCTAAGGCGTGTAATCAACGTTCGCCTTCTTAGAAGTCCGGTAACCTTGAAGGCATGTATGTCCTTCCTAGCAGGAGCTGCTTGACACATGCGCTGTCCTTGTCTCTAGATTCTTGATTTTTAGAAGTCTCGTGGTTGTAAAGCATAGGTCCACAGGTGGGGGTACAGTAGCATATATGTACATGTGTATATATGCCACTGCTTAAGCGGATTGAAACGCAAGGCTAGCTATGCTAGATTTCCTGATCTCCCTAACATGAGCACGCGTTACATGTATACATACAGACATACATTTGCATGTAGACGTGTAGATATATATATATATACACATATGTAAGGGGTCTGGGGCCGGCCTGGAACTCCGAATTAATTGTTTTTTCAAGAGAACGATAGCGCAACAACCACTCCTCCCCCCACTCCCCAACAACCCCCCAACGGCGAGAAGAAGAAGAAGAAGACGGTGATGAATAAGAAGATGATGAGTATTTTTAGTCGGTTGCTACCGTTCCCTTGTTGTTGAAGGCGATTCTGAGGATGATGGTGACGATGATGAAGATGATGGCAATGATAATAATAATCATGGTGATCATATTGTTGTCCGTGATGCTGCCGGCGGCCATGTTGATGCTGATGCTACCGATGATGTTGTCGAGGATAATGCTGTCAACCCCTCAACCACCACGAAAATCATGATGATGATGATGATGATGGTGATGGTGTGATGTTGATGCTGATGTTGAGGATGATGAGTTGACGGTTTGATCTCTGTGTTCTGTTGGGCATGTAGAAGAAGATGGTGGCGGTGACCTTGTTGATGATGATGCTTCGGATGCACTGTGACAACAATATTGCTTATGATGATGTTGACGATGGTGGTGTTGACGACTCCTTCCTTTTGATTCCGCCGTCGCCGCCGTTGCTGCTGATGCCGCTGCTGCCGATGCGTGATTGTGCTGGTGACAATGTAGTGATCACCATGGCACGGCTGTGATACGCATGATGATGATGATGATGATGCAGCTGATGATGATATTGTTGTGCATGATGGTAAGATGAAGATGCGGACGATGTGACTGGTGGTGATGGTGATGTTGCTAATGCTGCTGCTGACGTTGATGCGGATGGTGATGATGCTCCGTTGATGGTCTTCAGGATGATGATGTTCACGTCCCCACTCACCCGCAACATCCCAACCACAGCACAGGCACAATGATCACAACCTCGGCGACTCCACCCGGAACAACCGTCCACGACCACAACTACGCTGACAATGAGAACCAACACAATGGCCACTAGGACGACCACTGTCACAACAACCAACACTGACGCGACGACGATCACCTGGGACAGGCATAAGTGCCAGAAACGCTACCACCACTCCAGCTCCAAAACCACACCATCAGCACACCCACCGCCGCCAGCACCGCCACCCGCACCACGACCACCTCGACCGCCACGACCACCTCACCGCCACCGCCGCCACCAGCGCCAGCACCAGCGCCAGCGCCAGCACCAACAGCGCGTCAGCACCACCACCAGTACCACCACTAGCACCACCACCAGCGCCAGCAGTGGCGCCACCAGCACCAGCCGCACCATCCACGCCACCAGCGCCACCAACGCCACCGGCACCGCGAACGCCGGCAAAAACCCGCAGCAACCACACCAGCCCCGACAGCAGCAGCACCAGCACCAGTCCGCAATCAGCTTATGATGGAGAAACTCACCCAGCCTAGCTTTTGTTGGCCAGCCCCGCCCTTTACGTTCTCAAAAAGCGCGTCCTGCAAAACGCCGTAAAGGATATGAGGCCCCATAGATGGACCCTCAAAGAAGTAATATTGATCTTCAGAACCGCCACAATATCTTTCTTCTATGCATACAGCGACATGCATACATATGTACATTTGCTCTAAAATGTTGACGCAGCCCCAAAGAACTGCCCAGTGACTTGAAGAGACGCCTCGAGCATAGGCTGATGGGCGAGCTTGGCGAAGTTCCCAATCAGTTGCAGAGCTTCCGAGTTCAGGAGACAGGGAATATCCGGGCTTACACAGATGGGTGCAGTGTATAAGGCTGTAAACATGCGAACTAATGACTAATGGCAAGAATAGCGCTCTCAGAAGAAGGATAGTTGTTTGAGGTCCGAGTTTGCAAGTTTGCAATCAGCAGCATAAGGTATCTAGATCAGCATAGTTTTTACGTGCAGGTCTGCTTACCCATAACTGTTGTTTTCATTTCGTTGCACCTGTAGTATCCTAACATATCCTAACAGTGTTCGCAAAGCTGTCTAGAGCTGCCTATACATCTGGGAGTGTGCGCTCTCAAAGGATGCTAAATGCTATTGCTGCAATCACTCGCACATTCACCCTCACAGCGGTGAGTCACTCCCTTGCGACCGGCAATTGGTGTACCTTGGATTTGCCAGAGTCTGACCGGATTTCGCGTGTTAGCCTGGGCTATTTCGCTTACATTATCTTGGTTGCTTCCTAGCATGCGACCCAAGTCTAAGGTATGAGACCTTCAAAAAGTGGTGGTCGGCGGGCGCTGAGGAAGGGTCCGAGCAACACCTGGAGCGATTCAACACCCTGGTCCGCCAGCGCGTTGCCCCAAAAGTCGTGCTTTGGCAGATCTTCTCAACAGTTTCAGTGCCTGGTTATATTGTGATAATGGAAAAGGAAATGGAAACTATTATAATGGGGTTATATAGGGAATATATTAGGCCCTAAACCATAAACCCTAAACCATGATGGGATAATATTGGAGTAAATTTGCACAAGGGCACTGAAATGGCTCTGGCTTGCCGTTTGGTTTCCTTTCTTGGTACGGCCAGTTGTTGTCGTCGCTTGCTCATCTTTAATTACTTTTGTTATTACTACTGTTATTGTTATTATTATTGCTATTATCACTATTATTGTTGCTATTATTATTGCTGCTGCTGCTTGTTGTGCTCCCATTGTTCAGGAGTGTGTGCTTGCTTCATCTTAGCTGTGCATGTTTGCGGTTCTTGTCGTTGGGGCTGCTAGCGTTGCTGTGGCAAGTAATACTTGCTGCCTCATGTTCAAGAAAGAAAAAAGCAAGCTTGCCTGCACAAAGTAAAGAGCAATTGAGGCGCGCGGATTGGGAATTGCCCTGCCGTTTCACTATGTTGTGTACATGGCCGTTTTTTGCATGGTGCCCTGGTTGTCGGACTTCATTGCATTGTGGGCTGAAACGAGAGATCACCGTGCCGCTGTCTCCATGTGGAGTCCAAGCCTTACAGAATTTTAGGGTTTAGGGCTTTGGTTTCTTCGTGTGTTCTGCAAGTTTGAGGGTCCTTGCTATGGTAATTCTTTCCATGGGAGCCAAAACTTTTACGTGGGCGGGAAGTCAGCTTCGGGGACCTCATGACAAGCCCGTAAAGCATGTTTTGTTTTGGCCAGCTTGTGTTTACGCTGAAACCAGCAAGAGTAATGGAAAATGATAAAGTGTAATCCTTTCTTGCCTGCTTTAGGATTTCTAAGCCTTCCTGGAGTCAAGGTCCAAGATTTTTGGGAACCCTAAGCCCTAAACCCTTAGTAATCTTGTCTCTTGGTTCTTGGTTCTTGACTGCCCCAAGGGTGTGGTGCTTTAATTCGAGAAGGAGTAAAGTGCGGGCATGAGGTTCTCCACTTGCCGCAATGGCCGTTTTAGGGGTTTGCTGGGAGGGGTGGCGTAGCGTTAGGTGTCGAGTGGTAGGGTTTAGGGTCCAGGGTTTAGGGTTTAAGGTGTCAACCGACGTGTTGGATTTTTTTCGAATGATGGCTTTCGGCGTAGGGCTTAGGGCTTGGCCGGCCCAGAGAGAAACTCAAGCCTTAGGATTTGGGTCCAGGAAGTATACGTGAGATGGTAGTTTCCCCAAATAGCAGGATCCCAATGTAGAATCCAGAATGCTATAATAATTACTACAATCCTTACTTTGGGGATCCCCAATAAGGTACCCCTAATTTTGGGAAATCCCATACAAGGATCTCAAGCCCTGCGGCTCCTTGAACTTGTAAATACTGAGGTATATAGGTAGCCATTAGGGTTATAGTGGGGTTACACTGGGATAATGGAAAATAAAATGGAAACTTTTGGTGTTGTTGCTTTTACTAGTATTACTATTGTTAGCGAAGTTTTTTGGTGGGTTTTGCATAAGCAGAAGGGCCAATATACATGCCAGTCCTTACTATAGGTACCGCCCAAAAAAGGGCACCTAATTTTCGGAGATGTTCCCAAATCTCGACCAACTGGGAATCGCTGACCCCGTACCCCCAATTCCGCACAATGGCAGCTTTTTTGGGCAAAAGTCTGCCGCGGGCACGGGGAAGCTAGGTAAGAAAAACAAGAATCGAACGCCGACTGGAAAGAAAATGAGGAATGAAATGGAAATTGCGATTATATGGCTGTTCCACTTATAAGGGTACCCTCAATATAGACGCCAAAATATTATGATCCTGATAATGTGGACCCAAAGAATGACCCCTAATTTTGAGAAATCTCCAAATAGTCATATGGCGTCTACAAGCAAAAGGCTTCCTGGACAGGCCGGCGCAAGCTTTTTCAATGGGGAAGGTGTCTTAACTAGATATGTATCCACATGGGATCTCCAAAGCTAGAGGTCAACTTTGGTGGTCCCTATTATGGGGTTATGGTATGGCCATTGTCAGAAGAAACCCAAATCTTGCAACCCTAATTGTGAAGCACGTCTTTGCCGTGAGTTGTTGAAATCGTCAAGACAGATCTGTCCTGCCCTCCTGCAATTGGGGAAAGGAGTTTAAGGTTTAGGGTTTGGTTCTGGAAAAGAAGTCAGGGTGAGGGGGATAGCAAGGACATGATAGGGGCCCTCATCAGAAATTTCACCCAGAGTATTCTCATTTATGGAAACCCCACCCCAGTTTCCGTTTCATGTTCCAAGTTCTTTTCCATTTGGTTTTCCATTTGTCTGGAGAAGCCCCGATCACGCCTGAGGCCTGAGACATTTCATTGCGTGGGGCATTGTTGGCGTAGCCTTGCTCTTTGCACTGAGAATGTGTGTTTGGCTATGGAAGTTGGGTTCGCGTATTGAGAAGCGCTTGGACTCACGTTGGTGTGCTGTCTTCATTGTTGCGCCGCTCTCGTTTTTCGGCGTTTGCGCTTTATGGCTCCCAATTGGCATTAGCCTAGCAGCAACGCCGGAGGACAATCCGTTGCCCGTGTTCCTTTTCATCGCGGCTATAGCCATCACGGCACTTGTTTGGCGTGCGCCCAAATGGCAGGAGCCACTACCATCGAAGCAGCCATCGCCCCACGTCTTTCAAAGAAAGGAGGACAACGCAACATTCTCGATCTAATTATTCTGCCAACCGCAGCAGACTACAACGAAGGAAGCATGAGTCTTAGTGCCTCATGGGTTTTTAAGTCTTCGAGGCAAAGCCTCGGAAAGGTCGCAGAGCGGCTTTGATCAATTTGCTAGGCTAGACAGTCATTGACTTATCATCCCTCCTCCTGCGTTTTCACGCCCGTGCCTCAGCCCTTATGCACGTAGTAGATGTGTCCGGTGTTTGGTGCCCTGTGAGGTTTCCCAAGCCAGTGAGGCAGCAGGCTCTGGAATTCCAGGCGAGCATTATAAAAATGCATGGGCAGGAGGGGGTTTCAAAGTTGGATATGGCCAAGCCATCTTCAGAACAACAAGGCGTCTGCAGTCGGAAAAGGCCGCTGGACTTTTTTGGTTTTTCTGTTGCTGTTAGTTTTCCTGTTGATCAAAGAACTGGGCCTGTCATTGCTCATCATTATTGTTGGCAACATTACAACTTACAAGTATAGCTAGAGTCCTCTTTATTGATGATTTGCCTGTTGTATCCTTGCAATTAAATTCACATCTCCCTAATTGTATGGGAGCCTCCACGCCCCCATTTGTGAGCACTACCATGCAAGCCACGAAGCCCAAGGGCCGTAGTCGTCATCTGGGGCAGCTTCCCACGAGGACCCAAGCATCAGCAGAAGAGGGTTTAAGCTGGCTCCAACTTCCATTCTGCGCATGCTAGCCAGGGTGTCAAGGGGAGCTTGCAGCCTGTCTTTTTTACATGTAGTGAAGGGCGCTGGACGCAGTTCAAAATTGGCTGGTCTATGAAGCTTTACTATATTCCTACTCTATTCTTGGAGTTCCCTGTTTTGGGGCTCATTGTACTCTCTGTATTTGATGTTGAAGGTGGTCGTCTCTTGAAATCCCTCCAGTCCTTACGAGCACCTCATGGGATCGGATCGTGTGCAACGCTTTCCAGGAACAACCAGTGGGCTCATAAATCTGCACCTGAAACACCTGCACACCCATTATCATTATTGTTGTTTGTATTGTTACTATGATTACTGCTAGTAGATACTATCCATAATACTATCGTAGGAGTGTTTCTGAAAAAACATGGGGTGGGGATATGCTATAATGGGGACAGGTGATTCACAACTGAAGTGCACATGCCCACATTAGGGAAGTTTCGAATGTGAATTGAACGGGGTCTCATTTTAGCACCTGTTTTTTGCGGGTTTGCTGCGCAATAAAAAGTTCCAAACTAGTCGAGCATGGTGCTGTCTAAGCCCGTGAGAATGCGTGACCCACAGGCTCTGAGCAAGACGCAAGGTCGCTCTGCGGGCTCACAGGAGCCAATTGAGCAAGTAGCAAAGGCCATGACTCTGAATTAACTTCTATGTTCTGAGCACAGGGCCTTCCATCTTTTGGCAGGGACAGGAGGACCAACCAACATCATCATAGAATGTTGGTTCCAAGATGTAGTTGCAAGCCTGAAGCATCAGCCTGAAGGCCCAAGCAGCCCTGCAAAATCCAGAAACTCCAAACCCCCAAACCCACAAACCGGAAGCTCCTGCATGTTCCCAGTTGCCATTCCATTGTTTCATGATCTTTTCCTTTGGATTCTCCGTTATTGTGAATATACCCCTAAAAACATGGAGTCCATGGACAGAAGCGCTTTTGAGCAGCACCTTGACGCCTCGCCACCCGGTTGATGTTAGCTTCATTTTCCTGTGTTGGTGTTCATGTGTAGAAGGAACGTATGGGATCTGAATAGGGAAAGATGCGGGCTGCCAGGGTTTGGGGGATTTCCAAAACTTGACTATTCCTGCACGGCTCTACATTGGTTCATATTGGTTCCCAATCTCATTGAGGCCCGAAAAGTTCAGATGTCTGGGCTTTCCCCAGAAACCTGCATTTTAAAGCTGTAACTGCTTCCGTTTCAGGATCATGTTCTTGCTATGTTGGTGATTGGTGGCATAGGAAGTATCCTTGCACCCTGCTCAGGAATCAGGGAAGCACCTGTCAGGACCTGAAGCTCCTCAAAATGAGCATGGACTTTAACATTGCTACTTGCAGGCGACATGTGATCCTTATTCAACCTATATGATACTTGTAGTTCCCCTGAATAGGTGCATTCTAAGACAAACTCCAAAATACGATAATCCTTATTCTGGGGACTCCCAGAAGAACCGACATATGAATTTGCACAAAAAAGACTCAGGCTTCAAGCCCTGCGCCAACAGCTGCTTGAAGTTTACCCCGCTCAGCCGAGGAGACATGGGGGTTTCCCAAATTAGGGGTACGTTTTTAGGGGTCCTTATAACAAGGATTATGGTATTTCAGGGTGTATATTGGGGGCTTCATTGGAGGTATATTCTGCCTGTAGAATTGAGAAAAGAATGTTAGGGTTTTTGGTTGAGCTGGGGAGCTGCAGATGTGTCTCCAGCGAGCTTGTTGACGCTCAGATTTCTGAATGACTTAGTTCATACGTTCTCTAGGAAGCCAAGACGTTCTTTTGGCTGATGCTTGCCGGAGGCCAACTTTGGAAATGCTTAAGATGTAGGGGTTTGCCCAAATCCGTGTGCTATGGGCCCCGTCCTATTGGGCTTCAGTTCCAATATCGGCCCCTAGAAATGTTTCCCCATTTAGGTTGCAGCATTTCAAGCACATTGCCATGTGGGCGTGTTCCGCAACATTCCCTAAAGGGAACCCCTTTCATCCAAGCGTATCCCCCGTATACTCCTAGAGCTGGAAGAGCTCAACCGCCCTATCCCTCCGGGCCTCAGGCTCATTCCAGCATTGCAAAAGCGGCTTTGGGGGGATTCTCGAAGCCCCGTAGCCTAACGGCACCTTATGCTTTAGGGTTTGGGGTCTAAACCCTAAACCCTCAACTCCAGAGGTTACCGGGTGATCATGGGGGCCCCTGATAAGAGTTAGATAATGCTATAGAAGCTTCGTGGAGAAGCTTCCAACTGGGCTCCAGGGCGAGCATGGTTGCAGCTGAAATGTGTGCGATCGAAATGGAGGTGCCCCACAGACTTCGTGGGAAATACGGGAAAAAACCCATATAATCCTTATAATATATGTATATATATATATTCCCTTATCCCCTAGTAAGTGGAAGGGTTTACAGGTGACAGACGAATCTCTTCATCCAGGCCCTTTGTTTGCGTGGGCTTTGCTCTAAACTCCAAGTCCCACTTTTTGTAGGTGTCAAACCCTCCGTTGGCCGGTTTAGGGTTTAGGGTTTAGAGGTACCCTGAACTTCAGAAATCCACAACAAATCTTTACAACTCCCCTTTATTTGGCAACCTTCTCTGAAAGGATATCGCTGCCTGAGCCTTCCGACATACAAGACACCTCCGACAACTTCCAAATCTCAGGCGGTTCGGAGAGGAAACTCAGCAAAGTTGGGTCTTTGGGTTCAGTGTTTCCTGCAGTTCTGGGTTTTCATGTAATCGAGGGTTTTGGCTCAGCCCTTTCGAATCTCAGCTGGTTGCTGACTTGTGCTGAGGAATCAAGGGAAGATGGATCCCTTCCAAGCCCTGCTTCCTCATTAGGCACAATTAGTTGCTTCTGGGAGTGTGGTTGGATTCTTCGTTTAGGACATAAAGGGCGATGTTTCTTCTTTAAGTAGCACTACAAAGGAAAGAACACACGTGCAGGTGAGTGATAACAGAAACTCGCCTTTTCGGCGATTGCGGATTGTGCTTGAGGACCACAGTACGGTGAAGAGTAAACAGGGATGCCAGAACCTGTGCTTCAGCAGAGCACCTCTCTTTTCTTGGTGTAGAGAATATTATTTGAAGGAGCGGGCATGAATCATTGCGTGGCGAAAACGGATTTCCGATTTTGATGTTCACCTGGGCACTACCCAACTCCAAATCTTGAATCATCCTGCCGAAGGTAGTGGCACTCAGGCAATTCAGTTCATCCAGGCTTACTTAGCTACTCTGCGATATAGGTGTAGGGCTTTCGAGAGGTGCTGTTCCGCTGAGTGTAACCTTTTGCGACAACATGAACCAAGGAATCCGAATGAAGAGAACGAGCACGATGACATTGTGCTGAAGTCCAATCCTCTTCTGCCCAATGGGTTGCAGAACCTTACCAAGAAGGACAGCACTCCCCTGCACGATGGCATGACATGTTCAGAAGGGTCCATGTGCCATAGATAGCGACCCAAGAATGGTAGACTCCGAACCCTCAACGTTCCATGATTGAAATATCAGTCATAACAAAGCAGGCACAGCAGTGGTGGTGAGCATAAGAGAGTTGAGTTCACATCACAAAGAAAGTAGGTACTAGTTTTGAGTGCTAAATGACCAAGTGCAGGAAGCGGACTCGGTCAGGAACCGACTACGGTTGCGCCTTGGTATCCTGTCATCAAAGCAGCTACTAGGCTGAACTCAGAGTTTCTGAGCCGAAGGGCTTTTGAGAAGCTTTTGAGTTTGAAATCGGTGTGAATTGGTGTGAAGCACGCCTTGGAGCGTTATTCTTCTACATTCAGGGCGCGAGGAGGCAACAACATGGGAAAACTTAAGATGATTTACGGGCGCGAGGCGCCACGCAAGCATGCATGGCTACCAAGAGCGGGCCGTGCTAGCAGGATGACCTTTTTCTCTGAGGACTCCCGCTGCTACTTTTGTAATGTTGCTTACGGCTTGTTGTTGTTCTACGTCCTCTCCAACCGCCTGGCATGGCTCTAGCTGCCAGCACTAAAGTCGATAGTAGCTTCCATTTTTCCATTACCTCAATATTACCCCAATGTATATTTGCTACAACATTCTGGTTTCGTCCCAGGTTGGTCACTGGACGTTCCCTGCTGGATGCTGTCTCGGCTCTTGGCCTCACCAAATACACGGAGGAGGAGCTTGAGTTTTTAACATGTTCTGGGGGAGTCTAGTCGAAGGACAGATTTCCATGGTTGAAACTACCAGATACTGGAAACAAAAAGGCATGGTGGGCAAGAGTCTGCTCAAAGATGGTGCGGAGCTACATGGCAGAAGCTTCCGTCCAGCACGCACGGCCCAAGCGGCTTTGCACAAC